GCACCACGACTGCGACCAGCAGCAGCACCACCACCACTGCGACCCTCAGCACCACCACGACCACGACCACGCCCAGCAGCACCACGGCTGCGACCAGCAGACACACGACCGCAACCCGGAGCAGCAGCATCGAGACTGCGACCAGCAGCACCACCACGACCATCACCACCAGCACCAGCACGACCACGACGGCGACCAGCAGCACCACCACGACTACGACCAGCACCACCACGACTGCGACCAGCAGCAGCACTACTACGACCAGCAGCAACACCACCACGACCGCGACCAGCAGCACCACCACGACTGCGACAAGCAGCGCCACGACGGCGACCAGCAGCGCCACGACTGCGACCAGCAGCAGCACCACCACGACGGCGACCAGCAGCACCACCACGACTGCGACCCGCAGCGCCGCCACGACCACGTCCAGCAGCACCACGACTGCGACCAGCAGCACCACGACCGCAACCCGGAGCAGCAGCACCGAGACGGCGACCAGCAGCACCACTACGATCAGCACCACCAGCACCACCAGCAATACCACGACGACGACCACCAGCACCACCACGACTACGACCAGCACCACCACGACTGCGACCAGCAGACGCACCACCACGACCAGCAGCACCACCACCACGACCGCGACCAGCAGCACCACCACGACTGCGACCAGCAGCACCACGACTGCGACCAGCAGTACCACGTTCACGACCAGCAACAGCACCACCACGACGGCGACCAGCAGCACCACCTCCACGACCACCAGCACCACCAGCACCACCAGCACCACCAGCACCACCAGCACCACCAGCTCACCCAGCACCACCACGACAACCAGCAGTGACTGCCATTTTGAGTACAGCTTCCAGAAACACGGAGGTCAACCCTTGCACCAGAGCCGCGCGCAAGCGGGCGGCCGCAGCAGAAGAAACAGCAACAGCAGCAGCAGCAGAAAACACCCCGCACCCGCGGAGCGACCACCAGGAGAACCAACAACACGCGCAACCACACCAGGGCCACGAGGAGCACCACAGCGGCCACCAGGACCGCGACCACGGCCAGCACCACGCGCGCGAACACCAGCGCACGGAACAGCTCCGCGACCAGGGCGACGCCAACCCTCCAGAAGCCGCCGCGACGCGCGATGGGGTTACCGAGGCGTTTGCGTGGGCGAGGCCAGCCACCCAGCGCCGCCAGACGCACCCAGGGACAGCCCCCTAACACCGCCCCCGAGACACACGGCGGCACCACCAGTCGCCAGAGCACGCGCCCGGCGGCGCAACGCCAATCGCTTCGCAGCGCGGACGCTCGCAAGCGGACCTGCCCGAGCCAGCGGGCGAGGTTTCAGGCGAATCCGCGCCTCGGCGGGCGGAGGCCGAGACTCCTCCTCGGTCCGCCGGGCCGGTCTCTGCGGTTCGCCGGGCCAGTCTCTGTCGCCGCGGCCTGCCGGACAGAGCCACTTTGGCGCCGTCGGAACTTCTCTGGGCTGTTCACGCGGCCGCGCGCGGAAGGCCAAGACGAAGCCGCACGAGGGCCGGGCCACCCCGCCGAGCATGGACCAGACCAGCCCGACAGGGACAACTGCCAGGTGCGCCTGCAGAGGTTAGACCCGAGCGCGTCGGGACAGGACGCCACCACGCGCTCAGAATGTTGAGGCTCGTCCACCTCCGCTGCATGGCAGACTTGTTCCGCAACGTGCACCCGACGACCTGCCCACGGTGCCGCGCGGAGAGGACGCCAAGCCAATCCTTTCAGGAAGCGAGTCGCCACCACGGCGTGGATCCAGGGGTCAGACGCTTTGGGTGGAACTGACGGGGTTCAACAACTTTGGTGACGCTCGCCGCAGCCCCCTGAACACGGCAGCCCATGACAGGCTTCTCCACACAGCCTTAATAATCACAACTGAAACCAACGCTGGCGCGTAATCTTTCGCCCACTGCACCGCACGTGGACCACGAAAAATTGCAAGCCGCAAAGCTATAAAGAAACTATCGCAGTGCGACCCTACCTAGGAGTTGGAGCCTCTAGGAAAACAACATTAGTAGGAGCGGTAAACGCCGTCCTCCTCCTTCTCCTCATCGTCGTAGTTGTAGCAGTAGCGGTATGCTATGCTATGCTATGCTATGCTATGCTGCGCTATACTATGCTGCGCTATGCTATGCTATGCTATGCTATGTTTTTGATTTGCCTTCACTTTTGCCTTTGCTTTTGCTTTTGCTTGGCACCCAGGGAGCGCAACTGGGGGAACCGCGCGTTTGCTTTTACCTTTGCTGTTGCTCTTGCTTGGCTCCCAGGGGACTGGGGGAACCGCCCCGGGCGGTTTGCACTGCCCGGCCCCTTTAAGCCAAGCGAGTAAGAACCCTTCTAAGCAGAGCCTAGGTAGGGAATAAAAGAGCCAACACACATATCAAACGGTGCAGAAAGCCGCGTGAGGCTGCGCAATGAAAGAGACGACTCTCGTGACAAAGACTCCTGCAACAGCAACACGCACGGATCAACAGCAGCAACAGCAACAAAAACGCAGACCGAAGGCCACGGCGCCTACAAGTCCACGACAGCCGCCACCGTGCGACACCAGCGAATCATTTCCCAGATCATCAAAGCAATCCGAGCACGACTCGGCGTTGAACGCTGCCACGGCCACAGCTTGTACACGGCTGCTCGGACGAAAAGCAATCGATTCCAGGGCCCCAGAAGGACAACGTGCATACTGGCCACGCAACTGCGAAAGGCCCAGGCCACGCACGGCGGGATTCTGAGGAGGCGTGCGGATCGGTGGCAGCTTCGTCAAACGGTGGCCTGGCGGGGCCGGACGACCAAAGAAAACACGCACTACAATGCAGGCAGAGACAAACACAGGATAACGGCAAACGCGCCAGCACAGAAGGAGGAAAAACAAGCGAACGTGCGTCGGCGGCGTCTCGAACGCTTCGCCGAAGCTGACGACGCGAACACGGTCCTGGTCCCCAGACCCCCGACGTCATGATTTTTTCATGACGCGACCCCCAGAGGTCTGGACCCATTCCCAGGGACAGGTTCTTCATTCTGAGTCGTTTTTTGACGGCCCCGAGGCCCAGTAAGGACCCCCAGAGGCCGAAAATAGCGAAAGACCTCCTGTCGTGATTTCTCCCTGACTCGAGGGGGTCCCCGTCGGTCGGGCGTGTCGCGGGCTCGGCCTCGTGCAGGCGGCGGAGGCGAAGCGGAGGACGCGGCCGCGGAGGCAGGGCGAATGGCGCCCCCGCGCGCGCGGCCGGCGCGCGGCGAGAAAGCACCGGCACACGGGAAACCAGCACCAGCACGCCAGGGCGAAGGCGCAGGTGACGACGCCGTCGTCGTCGACGCGCACGCCGTCGAAGCCGTCGACGGGGACGCCGACGAGGCAGGCCGCCCGCCATCGGGGCCCCTCCGCACGAGCGACCCGCACGCGGCCCACGCCTGCGCCCTCGCGGGCCCGCAGCGCGGGCGGGCGAGGGCAGGGTCTCGGCGGCGGTGTCAGGCCGGCGGTCCGTACAAGCGCAAGCGGGGAGGGCGGAGACGCGCAGGTGCGCACGATGTTTGGCAAGCGGGCACGCGCGCGAGGACAGGTTCGCAGGCACGCCTTCGCGCACGCTCCTTCCGGCGCCCACGCGAAACGCGCACTGCAGTAAAGGCTCGTTGGCGAGAGTCCTCCTGGCTCGCAGATGCCAGGGGGGGGCGGAGGTAGGAGAGACCAGAGCGGCATCCGGGAGAGGGGGCCGGGCGGCCCAAAATCAAACCCAAGACGGCCCAGCCCGGTCTCAAGATGGCCTGGAGGGCCCCTGACAGGGGAGGCAGGCAGGCGGCGGCGGCGGAGCTCACCACGACGTCCACGGGGCAGCCGTCGGCGGTGCCCCCTTTTGGGCCGCCCCACTGGCTGCCGCAGGGCCCGCAGGGAAGCCGGCCAGAGAGAAAAGGAGACGCGAGGGGGGAGGGAGGAGGGGAGGAGGCGGGGAAGGCGCTGGAGGAGAGAAAACGGCGGATCGGATCGACCCAACGGGAAGGAACGTCATGTTCCGAAGCGCCGTCTGGGGCCCCCTTTTGGGGGCCACCAGCGTAGAGTTTGAAACTCCAGAACAATGCCGGCTGCACCTCTCACCCGCCCGGCCCGGCAGCCAACAACAACCGCGGCCGCCCCCGATCATCCACCCTGGAGGGTGGAGGACGGAAGGCGGGGGGGGAAGGGAGGCCCCTCGGGCCGCGCGAGCCGCATGGCCGACCGAATCGTTCACTGCACCGGGGCCAACAGAGCAGGCACGCGTCGTGACGGCCTGTGCGCAGATTTCTGACGCCGCACGGGTCGTCCAAACCCTGAACGCTCGCGGCATTCTGCTGGCGAAACTCGTCGATGTCGGCCGATTCCGGACAATTGGCGTCGAGCAACCTTGTCAGGATTTCCATGGCGCGGTTTTTCTGCAACGTGGAACCCTGGAGGTCTCGACCCACTTCGGGGGCCGTTTGTTTATCCTGTGCGTTTTTATGACACTCCTGGGGCGTGGTAAAGGTCGGAGGCCGAAAACAGCATCAAACATTCGTCATTCCTTGCACGACAAAGAAAACGCGAGGGTTAAAACTCCGCACTTGGTCCGCGCTGGGTTCGCCGCCGCATGCCGTACGTTTCCTGGCGAGCCTCGAGTTCCACACCTGTGGTTCGCGAGCCTTCGTGGTGCTGGCACGGAGTCTGGGCGTCTTCTGCAATAGCTTCACCTTCCAGTCCGACCCTGCACGGAAGCCGGAGGAGGACGAGGCGGAGGAGGGGGAGGAAGAAGAGGACGAAGAAGAGGACGAGGAAGAGGAAAAGGACGAGAACGTGGCCCTCTCCATCGAAGTTCCACAGCGTTCGGACGCGTTCGTGGATCCTTCGGCGGTCTTCCACCCCCGGAGGGTCTCCAGCAACGGCGCCCCACCGAGGGCGCTCCAGGGGCGACCCGCTCGACCCGACCGCACAGCATCTCCGCTTGTCCTAAAGCACTTTTGACTCGCGGCCTCGCTGAGCGGCGGGGTCGCAGCGACGCGGCGCAAGGCGCGAGACGCGGAGCAGGATCTGGCAGAAGCCCTCGCTGGTTGGCCTGCGGACCATCCCTTCGGACCACCACCCAGGCGTTCGGGGCAATCCGGGCTCCCTGGGCTGCGACACCTGTCGTCGAGGCGCAGCTGCTATGGACAGCACCCCGGGGCCCGAAAACCTCGTGCAACATTCAAAAAACCTCTGGTGACCTCCGAGACAGTCATCGTCGTCGCGGGCGCGGGCGAAAAGCACCTGAAAGAAAGGGGGGGAGAGAGTCCAGGAGGGAGGGGGGGAGAGAGGGAGGGAACGAGGGAGACGGGATGGAGGACGGAGGAAAAAAAGGAAAAGGAAGATGGAGGAGGGAGGGGGAAGAGGAGGAGGAGGAGGAGGAGGAGGAAGAAAAGAAAAAGGAGGAGGAGGAAGGGGAGGGACATTATGAAAAACGGAAACAACGATGTCCAGCACTACGCCGGCTTCTAAATCCTCTCATCGCTCTGATCCGCCTGCAACTCCCAGGGCGCTCGCAACACAATTGTAGGGCACTCGGCACCACGGTGCGAGGGGCCCCGAAAACAACTCCAACGCAATTGGGATACGCCCCGGGCAGGAGAAAGGCTGCGGCGGCGGCGGGTGGGCGCCGCGCGCCTTGTGGATGATTGCGTCGCGTTTTCACAAATAGTTGTCATGGTTGTACGTCTTAGCGCGCGTGAGGATCATGAACAAAGATGGCATGGTGATCCAGAGAATAGACTTTACCGAACACGAAGTCAAGGATGGGGTAGTGGAGGGCGAAAAGGACATTGGCGGAGATGCCACGCAAGCCATGGCGGCGGGACGAATGTAGGTGGCGGAAGGAACCCGGAGATCCGCTACCAACGATAAAACTGGAAGGTAATGTATGGGGACTCTTTTTACCTGAACGCAGGCATGTTAAACGCGAACAGCACGGGAATGTAGTCCGGCCTGACTACGCGCCACCAAGCCAAACATGGCGGCGGAGTGCCCAACAACGTCTACCCCACCCAGTGGGATAGATGCTTCGGGCACAGGAAAGCAGCGGAAAGGGGAGACAACTCAGAGAGGCAGGATGGCAGGCACAGAGCAGGGATCAATGGGAAACCGACCGTTCGAGTCTGGTGATCAAACGAATCTGCCAAAGCCCCATCGGCTACAGCACGCAAACCGCGCCCCCACCAATCAGGCCTCGTAAAAAATTCCAGTGGGGGGAAAGATTTGCCTGTTTAAGAAGGCCCCGTGGGCCCCCCGCGGCGCCAAACGCAAAAACTTGCTCGGCGCCCGCGGCAGAGGTGGAAGCACCCCCGAAGACCCCAGGAAAATAACCGAAACTGGCAAACACACAATAAACAGAAAGAACGGGGGAAGTAGACAAGAGAAGGAGCACAATAGATCACTACGCGCCCACGACTAGCGCTGCTGCCCCACGAACACAGTTCGCAGAGACAGCCCCTCACGGAAGGCTCACTTAAAAAAACGCACTTGCAAGCACAATTCACCCATGTGGCTGTCTCTCCTCAGTTCTGCCACGTCGCGTTGTGCGAACACGGTTCGCCCACGCGGTTGCCTCCGTCGCCCTCGCGTCGCATTCGCGAACGCAGCATGCGAGATGCGACCGCTGATGAAATGCCCTGCAGCTGGGACATGCAGTAAAACTGCCAGCTGCCCATTCCGCAAGTAACACACTTTCCCCCATCGCTCTCTGGTCGCCGAGCCAGGAACTGGGCGGGGTCTTACTGCGCCTCTCGTCGCTCTGCCTGACCGCGGGGTGGTCGCACTGAAGCTTTCCGCGCATCGCGTACAAGATCAGCACCCCACCAATGCTCCACTGGGTTGTGGGGCGAGCCCCCACGTCACGAGTATCGCACCAGAGCACGTCGGTGATCTGCTCGGCACGGAGCTGGTCGGACAGCCGCCACGGGCGGCCTGCCACACAGCGCTCTGAGGGCGGACGCACAGGATCCAAGGCGATGGCCGCGAGGACAGACATCCCGTCCACGACCAGGGTTGCAGGGATAGCGCATACCCCAGTTCCCCCATCAGCCCCCGGATCTCGTCGGCTTACACTGAGTCCGGGATCATCTCGTGGAGCGCGAGGAGGCAAGCGCGCGGACCGCCGGCTGCGCCGCATGCCGCGAGAAGCTCAAGAACCCAAGGAAGACCTGCACACAAGCTTGCGCGAACGGCTCACGGTGTCACGGCATCAAGCGGCAGACCTCCTTCCCGGCAATGAATGCGACACTTGCCGAGGAGCATGTAGACGGCGCCTCGCATGCCGCATCCTCTCCCCCTCTCCCTCTTGAAGGACCCGTCGCTGCGCGCGCAGATCTGGCCATCGCATTCCATGGCAGGAAACACAACGCGCGCCTTGATCTTCCGCACGGCGAAGACCACAGAATTGAGCTGCATAACGTGTCGTATAAGCAGCATGTAATCGGCCCGTTGCAACGCCACGCTGCACGCGGCGACGCGGCGATGGGTGCGCAGAGCGAGAGCAGCTACCCCCAGCAAGGAGACGAAGAGGTCGGACAGTTGACCTCCTGTGGGCTCGTCGGCCATCGCCTTGACCAAGTCGACGTGCCCGCTGGGCATCATGGCGTCGATGCACTCGTCCTGGCCAAGCGTCACGGCCCCGTCTGGGCTGCGGCGCTGGCGGACGCCGCAGCTGACGGAGTCGTCGCAGCACCCCTTCATCTAACCGAAGACGCTCTCGATGTGACCGACTAGCCTATCGACGTGCTCGGTTTGCCCGGGGATCTTGAGATCGCCAACGCGCTTGGACAACGTGCGCACGAGCTTTGAGTCGCCACCACCTCAGTTGCCAAACGCCTCATCCTTAACCTCGAGCTCCGGGCCCCACCTGCCCGGCTCGGCGCCGCACTCTGACGAGCGCGTGACCCGGGCGAGTTTCATAAAGAAGGCCAAGGGTGCACCCTTGCAGCCCGTGCCCAACTCGATGCAGCGCAGGCACTCGATGCTCTTGTCGAAGGACTCGTAGCCAGAAACCCTGCCCGAAGAAAGCAGCCCTGCTGGGCGGCAGGGCGAAGTTCACCTCGCGTGGCGCTGCACCTTGTTCCTGCATCTCGGCGCACGTCATTCCCCGCAGGAAAGCCTTCTCGACCTCCACGGCGAGGTGGACCCAGTCCGGGCGGCGCGCCGCCTCCGAGGACAGGGCGCGATGCGAGGAGCGCTTGGCCGCCCCCGCAAACGTCTCCACGGCGCCAGCGCCCGTGTCGCGGAAGCCTCTGAGCGCCATGCGGCAGCGGATGATCCGCGCGGCCTCACCGTCGAAGCCCTTCCAGCGCTTCCACTTGAAGGCGCGCCTGGAGTCCGCGACATTTCGGACACCCTTGAATGGTTGCCGCTCGAACTTGACCCAGACGATAAGCTTCTCGAGGATAGCGGCGGACACCTCCTTGGACAGCCTGGATGCTGCCTAGACGCTGGCGTTGCGCATCGAGGTGCTGGGGCCACCTTTGCGGCCGCACGCTCGAAAGCGGCGTGGAACGTTGGAAGTTGAACACTCACACTATCACTGGAAATGCGCTATTTGATAAAAAGAAAAAGAAGCCTTGTAGTAAGGTGCTGTTGCTCTGCTGCGCGACAACCGCGGCGGCGCGCCCGACTGGCCAAGATACGCCCTGCACTGGCGCCCTGAATCTCCTGCAAAGGAGCATTTACAACTCGCTGAAAAAATCCCACGATCGCCGCGACCCGACGAAGCGCGACCTTGATTACGCGAGCAAATTCATCGCGGGGTGAACTGGCAGGAAAGACGGGGGCCGGCTTTACTAAGGCAGACCGCGGACCTCACCGGTTCTACTTACTATACCGATAAAGCGGCCTTACCTGGATCCTGCCCAGCGCCTCCTGCCTTCAGCGTCCCGTCGCCCTGCATAAACTGCATGATGCGCGCGCCCTTCCACCACCGCTCAGCAATGAGCAAACGGGCCCCGACCCCGACGCCTCCCACGTAAATCTGCCAGGTATCACCTAGACTCTGAGGCCACCACCAAAGGACCACGCTGCGGGCGCAGCCTGGCCAATCTCCCACCAATGTCTGGCCGCGCAGTAGACGCAGAGCACAACGCCTGGTAGCTGAAAGCATATGCGGGATACCTGGCGCATAGCTTCGAGGATGTCTGGCCGGTGCCGCGCATGCGCGGTCATCTGCGCGCCCCTCATGTCCTCCCAGTGGCCGAAGGTCCCGGTGCCAGAGCCTTGCATGAGGTGCCCCATTAAATCCTCCACTCGGTCCCAGGCCAGGCCAGCCCCAGCCAGGCCGGTGCCCACGTCGTCGAAGACGGCACCGATGAAGGGCCTGAAGTCCTGCAGTCTGCAGATCACGTCTGCTCGGCGGTACTTGACTGGTACCTTTCCTCGAGCTGGATCGACAGACACGAATGTCCCAGGGCCCGCCCAGTATGATACGTCTTTTGTGCTGAGAGGCCTGTGGATCTCCACGTCGCCAACGTTGAAGCGCCCCTCGCTGGGCTCGGTGGCGCGCGTCCGAAAGGCGCGGCTGGCGCGGGAGATGGACGCAGCCTCAAACACGCATTGCATCGCGATCTCTCTGATCCAACACTGCTATCGGCCGGGCTGCACTTCCCCGCCAGCAGAGGGATCGGCGCCACTGACACAGTCGCCAGACACTTCAGAGGGTTCGTCTGCTTTCAACGGTGGCAGCATAGACGGCTGCCCCCCGAATGCGACACTGCATGGCGCGACGCCGCCGACATGGGTGAGGCAGCTGCCTGCAATCATGGCGCGAGCAAGCAAGGAGTCATAGCTCACCACGATAACTATGCGCTCTAGCTGCTCCTCTGCGGCGCGAAAGGCACGTCGTAACATGGCACAACGTCGTTCTATGCAGCGAGCGCGATGTCACGGGGCGCAAATATCAACCTGAACTCCACGCCTCTTCATTTCCTCCACGCATTAGACAGAGGTCACGCCGCCCTCTTCGCCAGGGACAGACTTTCAGTCGCACCAAAAATATGGATCCACGATCAGTCCATGGCTGCAAGCAGCGTCGAGTCGCGCTTGGAATCGATCTCCTGGCCGTTGCGCCAACGCGAGGCGCACCAACTCAGATGCATGATCATGCGTTCCTCGTGGGAAAACGTCGCACTCGACGTGCTTGTTCAATCGCAGTGCGGGTCGGAGTGTAGGGATAATTTGGTGCGCTGGTGGATGTCACTCGCGGATGCCCTACAGTTGTTGACCACTGTAGGGATGAGGGCGGGGATGTCATGGACA